TGGGGCTGTGCATGGCAGGCCTGAAGCCGGAGATTGCTGCTGCTGTCCGGATCTTTGAGCCGGATTCCGTGAAATCTGCTTTTCGTCTTGCAGGGTACAAGGAAGAGGAGCTGGCGAGTTGGAGGAGCACCATGGGCCGCAATCCGCGGGCAGGGGGCGCCGGGAGCAGTAGCGGACTCAGCGGTGGAGGAGGAGGAGCGGCTGGGGCCGCGGTTGGAGCTGGAGGACCCACGGCGGCACAGGCGCCAGTAGCTGTCGTGAAGGGTGGGGCACGACCTCCGCCCAAGGGATTTGTGCGACTATCCCCTGCGGAGATCGAGCAGAAGCGGCGGGAAGGGAAGTGTTTCAACTGCGACGAAAGGTTCACGATTGGCCACAAGTGTGCACGCCCGGACTTGATGATGCTGGTAGGGAGGTGGGAGGACGAGGCGGAGGATGAAGCGAGAGACGGGGAAGACGCAGGTGAAGGCTACCAACCTTGAGGACAAGGTTGTTTTGAAGAGGAAGGGAATGATAGACATTTAATTATTTCGGTTTATGTCGGTTTGAATTATTTAGTTCGGGATTATTTTGGGTATTGGGAATATTGTGGGGGATTAATAATTTGGGGGAGTTAGTAGGTAATTGTGTTTTGGGTATTTAGGCTATTGTTTACGTAGAGAATGGCAAGCAAGAATTAAACCTAAAACTATCTCTCTCTCTCCTCTCTTCCTCTCTGGCGGCCGAGCCTTCTTTCCCCTCCCCAAAGCTGCCGCACGGCAGCAGCCTCCTCTCTTCTTCTTCTCTTCCCAAATTCCCTAAATCACTCTCTCTCAATTCCCCTCAACCCCGGATCAATCCCTAGTTGATCCCCGATCCCCAATTGTCCGATAGAGCTTGAGCTAGAGTTCTATCAATAAATGGGAGGGGAAATGTCAGTTTTGACCCTTGTTTTATTTCTCTAGGTCTCGTCAAAGTGAAATTATTAGAATTATTTGGCTATACAAAAGAACAAAAAAAAACTCTAAAGTGAAATTATTAGGGATATTTTAGATATTTGGATCGCCCAAACCAAAGTTCGGTCTTGGTTAACTGTTTGGACTTTGCTACGGTGACATGCATGTCACGGTGACATGCACTTTTCGGTCGACCTCATATAGGATCAGGTCGACCTAATCAGTTGTTTCAGTGTACAAACAGTTTCATGGTGCCTACTTTGGAGATTCATATCTTACAATTGGCTAGATGGAAATTGGAGATTAAAGGCTTGTTTTGAAGCTGAAGTGTCCCTCTACACATTAAAGTACTTGGGAGCTCAATAGAAAGTCCAGAAGACCATTTTTGAACCTGACCAAAAGGCTATGCCAAAACTGGGAAACTGCCTGAAAATGGCTTAAGTCTGGCAACGTGTTTGTCAAGCCTACTTTGGAGCTCAATTTGACAAGCATGGATGCGAGTCAAGTCCAGAGGCCTTTACCACGTTAAATTACGTATTTTTTTATACAAAGGCAAGACATTGAATGAAAGATTGAATATCTTTAAGGCTTCCAACAAAAGGCTCGAAGTTGCTACGAAACCTGTTTTTCTGGCAGCTTGCTTGTGCTCGAAGTCTGCCAGAAAAACAGCCTTCGTAGCAACTTCGACCCTTTTGTTTGGAGCCTTAAAAATATCCAATCTTTCATCCAATTCCTTGAATTTGTATAAAAACATACCTAATTTAATGTGGTAGAGGCTCCTGGACTCGACTCGCATTCATGCTTCTCGAATTGAGCTCAAAAATAGGCTTCACAAACACGTTTCCAGACTTAGCCATTTCTAGGCAGTTTCCCAGTTTTGGCATAGCCTTTTGATGAGGTTCAAAAATGGTCTTCTGGACTTCCTATCGAGCTCTCAATCACTTCAATATGTAGAGGGACACTCCAGCTTCAAAACAAGTCATTAGTCTTCAATTTCCATCTAGCCAATTGTATGATATGAATATCCAAAGTAGGCACCATGAACTGTTTTTACACTGAAACAACATATTAGGTCGACCGGATCCTATATGAGGTCGACCGAATCCTAAATGAGGTCGACCGGATCCTATATGAGGTCGACCGAATTCTATGTGAGGTCGACCTAATCCTAACTGAGGTCGACCGGAAAGTGCAAGTCACCGTGACATGCATGTCACCGTAGGCACACCCTAACTTTTTTGGATGTAAATTTTAAGAAAAGGGCATGTTTGATAAGTTTTTTAAAGTACAGGGGTATGTTTGATGTAAAAAATAGTAGAGGGGCATGTTTGATAAAATGTGATAGTAGAGGGGCATATTATACCTATAACCCATCTTAATATACAATTCTCTCAATTGAAAAGTTTCCCTGTGGTATGTTAATATTTAAATTAATGGTTAAAATTCAAACATAAAATTTTTGCGTGGAATCATACTTTTCACTTATAAGTGTATTCAAAATTTTGATTTAAAATTTAAATTAAAACTTATAGATGAAAATTTAAATTTTTACCCATCTAATACAATTCTCTCGAATGAAAGTTTTTGTATAATAAAAAATGGTTAAGATTCAAATATGAAGCTCATATGCCCAAAAACACTATTTCTCACCTAGATCATTTATATTATTCCCGAATTGGGATTCCTTCACCTCTTCACCTCAACATCTACGTTTATGTTTATTATGTCACCTCTATCGGTGAATCAAGTTAGGGTTTGGATTGAGTTGTTTATGTAAGGTTTCTAAAGGAGTTCATATGATTAATTTAGATGAGATGACAATAACGTATTTAATTTGACTCGATAAATAAATAGAGATGAACATAATGCCTAGTTTTTTTTATTAGCGGAATGTTGGAAGTGCAGAAAAGGACGACAATGCACATTGGGGGGGAGGAAATCTTGGCAAGCACCTCGACCTCTTAGAGTAGCAATTAGCCAGTTACACCATAAACGAGAATGATTATGAAACTCATGGTGCAGCTTCAGACCAATCCCATCAAACCCATGACCCAAAATTCGCAAATTCCTTCTTCCAGGAGACATGCATTCTAATTGATGCAACTTCAAGAACATCCATCGCACTCCCGAGCTCTTCCTCTCTCGGCTAATTATGATCCTCATCATGATGAGATTAATGATGGCGACCATGTTCATGAAACCCAAGGCCAACCTCCAAGAGGTAACCAAGCGCCTTAGTTTCTTCATCTTCACCGTCTGGCGCTTCTTTTCGTCGAACCATGCCTACTTGTCATTATTCAGGAGCGGTTCATCTTCGTGAGGGGAAGGAACTTTTAAGAAAAGAACAAATAGTGATGTTGTTGTGTTTACCTTATCGAGTAGAGAGACCATAGGGTGTAGTAGTCTTCGGGTGAGTTGTTAGTAGTTCGGTTGGGTTTAACTAGTTTGATTTTTTTTTTAATGATTTGGCGTGTTGATTGAGCCGAATTAACGAATTTTCGGATGGAGATGGACGGAATGACCACTTTGTTATTCGTCTAAACGTGTTTTATTAAAAACGTACAAAATTAAACTTTGGTGACCGTAATGTACTAAGTGATGAAATTATGTGGCTGTTTATGATAGTTATCCATACAATAACCATCTTAAGTTCTTAACCCAATTATCAACCAAACCAAATCAACTTAGTCTATCATTTATTCATTTAAGTACCATTAAAGTTAAATGACCATTATTAATTACTAGATTGGTACCCGGCCCGTTGGCCGACTTATATATAACGTTGGAATATTTAGACAACATCAAAGTTTCATTTCACTAAGCATAATTATTAGAAAAATGGATCATTATTATATGATTAATGTAATTTATTCCATGATCAGGCTATACTTCATAAGCAGGTTTGATGAATATTATCCTTACTCTCTCTGTTGGTTGGATGAATATATGCTCATAACTAACAAAAGTTCATTAATTATTCAACTAATGATTTGAATTTTATATGTCTCATTTATTTATATTTTGTTTTCAGTTTTTTATCCACATATGAATATTTGAATCACACGTGCTTAGTATTTATTATATTCGATACACTACAAAAATACATCAAATTATATCTTATTAGCTTCGCAAAGAAAGGTTAAAAAGATCAGTGCGAAAAATAGTAATAAGTTTTAAATGTTATGAGTTATTGGTCAAAGAAATAAGATAGAGGAAAACACAGGGGTCATTTGTAAAAAATAATTTGGGTAATAGATTCATTGAATCCATTGATTTGGTATAAAATTGTTTTATTTATTTTTTCTATTTTTCTATTGTGGATTTTAGTTTGTGAGATTTTAAATTTATAAAATTTAGAGATATCAAATCTCTCATAATTAGAGAGATTTTATGTCTTAATTTGTGATAATTTGTTTCTCCTACTTTATGCCCACCTTATTTATTTATCCTATTAAAACCTTACGAATAAATTCACAATATTTTTTAGCTACTCTAACTCTTTTAATTAAAGGTAAACTTATTATTTGATAAAAATTAGAATTTATATTTGAATGTTAACAATCGTAGTTATCAAAATAATGAATATTTAAAAAACAGATAATTTGGAGCATTAGAATCTTTTGATTAAGACTCCAATTGTCCAAACGACCCCTTAGTATGGATGATATTTACAAAAATTGGGATGTCCAATTCCTTTTTCGTTCCATCAATTATGCATCATTTGAGCGAATAAATCAGCTACTGCTGGAATGAATATTTCTTTTTTTTATATATTATTTTGGTACGAATAATTTTTTTTAGTTTAAAAGAAGGGATGAATAATTCTAGAGGTGGCTAGTAAATTGGTTGATTTGTATTTTTTATTTCTATGGGCCAAGCCCACAACACCCAGCTAATTGGAGAAAATTTGCAATAACGAAGTAGATAGAAAGGTAGAAAGACCAACCAACCCTTCCTAACTATGCGGACAGACCTAGAAATTTTGAATTAAAGAGGTGTTGGCCTGGAACCTCCATATAATATTGGGTGAGATGAGATGGGAAATCTGACTCCTAAAGCTAGCCACTTCAACTGGCTCAGATTGGCCACGTCTGGTCAGCTCCAGCTGTCAAGTGTTGTGGGATTGGGCACACCACCATTATGTTGGGATGCAAAACGCCTTCATTCACCGACGGGTGTACCAAATCCCTCTTCGGTCGGCGTTCCTTCAGCAAATTTAGTGTTAATCATAATCCGATTAAACAACTCGTTATTAATGTTAATCATGATCATGATTTCTTTTTTCGTTTTGGTGGAAAGAGAAAGATAGTCATTTTTCTAGTTTCGGCAAGGAAACTATCAATCAGCTCTTCCTTCTCCCCCCTGTCTCATCCTCTCTCCGGCCACCACGTCAATGGCGACTCTGTTCCTCTGCTGTTCATCTTCTTCCCTCTCACTCCTTCAGTCTCCGCCTTCCGCTTCTTTCGGCCGCCGGAGCTGTTACCCCTGCTGTATCGGCATCGGAGCTTCTTCCTCTTCCTATTCGCCTTCCACATCCGCGTCTTGTTGTGCTTTGGCCAGCTCCAAACCCAAGGTCGTCGTCACCAGAGAGCATGGCAAGAACGGGAAGCTCATCAATGCTCTGGTAAGCCGTTCCTCTCTTCTAATTGCCTTCTTGTTCTTCGAATCAAATTCGGTCCCCCCTCCCCTTAGTTAATTCGGTGGTTTTCTCGCTTCGCTGATCTTGTTTTGCATGTGGAGTGGAATTCTGTCGATATTATAATGCAACTTGTTCTTAGCTATGACAAGTTTCTCCTAATTGAACAAATGGCTACTAGGCCTTTGCTTTTTTTACGGTTTCACCTGCGAAAGTTGCAATTAGGCTCCGTGTAAATTGGAAAATGCGAATTGAAGCTGTAATAGGCGGTGTCAGTTGGCACTAGATTTGAAGCGAATTGAAATTGATTTGTTGAGTAGGGGCATGAGGATTGCCTTTGCTCCTGGTACTTGCTGTGTGTAGAAATATGCAAATTGCTTCTGATTTTAGCAGACAGCAGTTGTGGCAAGAAATGGAAACTGAGATGAGAAATGTGTTTGGTCTTGAATTAGGGGGAACAAGGGATCAGTTTCCTGGAGCTTCCTTTGATTCAGCATACGGAAGGGCCTGATTCGAACAAACTGTCATCTCTGCTGCGAGGTAAAATTTATTGTATGATTTAGTGATTGGTGCTGTGTGCCTGATGAACCTGTAACAAATATTCACTACCCCTTGTTACTTGCTTTCTGCAGATGTAATATTTGATTGGATTATCATAACGTCTCCTGAAGCGGGTTCAGTCTTTCTGGAGGCGTGGAAGTAAGCATGTGAATTCTATAACAATAAATTGTCCTGTTGCATGGATAACCCAACTGCCCAGATACTGGTATCTGCTTTCACAAGTTTGTTCTGTTAAAACGTTGAACTTATCTTGAATTTTGGTCCTTAGGGAAGCAGGAACGCCAAAGATTAAGATAGCTGTCGTGGGAGCTGGTACAGCTAGTATTTTTGAAGGAGTGATCCAATCTTCAAACCAATTACTCGACATTGCTTTCTCACCATCAAAAGGTTCGGAGTGGATAGTAGTTCTGTTGGGTACATGAAACTTGCACATGCATTATATCCTCATTGTACATCATGTAGTCAAGGGAATCTTTTATCAGCAATGATGAACATATGCTACAATTATTTCCTGATGTAATATTATGGAATTAGTTCTGATTCATTGTAGCGTTAGGGTCTGCAAACATGCATCAATTCTACCTCTCTCCTCATCCATTCAACTTGATCTACCAACTGATTTTTCACATCTGTTGATTCAACCCCCACACAGCTTTGACAAGGTTAACATCAGTCGGAAAATACGGGTCTAATGATCAAGCAAGCTTCTGATAGTTCTCAAGAAGTGCTTGAATTCCTGCTACTGAGTGATTTTTTTTCTTCCTAAAGTATATGGCTAAGTCGAATTCCTTTCTCTTATACTTTTTATTGTCTCTTACCTTTCTTCAGCAACGGGTAAAGTTCTGGCAGCAGAGCTCCCTGACTGTGGGAACGGAAGGTGCACTGTCTTGTATCCAGCCTCTGCTAAAGCTAGCACTGAGATTCGTGAGTATGATCACTCTCATGACACCATATTCATAATGTCTCTTGTATTCAGAAAGCTTACTTACACAATGTGTAGTGAACTTCAGAGACTAGATTCATCTTGTCTCTCTGAATTAGTGGAAGTAAATCAAGGGGGACAGTAGTCAAACCTTAACCAAATTTTATCCAGAAGGTATAGCATGGTAGTTGAAGTTAATATGCGTCACCTCTGAGGTTCACTTGAAGAGATTTTGACCTGAATGAACTTGGATTGTATCTCGAACAGAAGACCCTTGCTCTCTTCCCAATTAATGTTGTTGGTCTCAGTCTGTTGTTTTTAGATCCCAACCATTGCATATTGGTGATGAGTTGATATTTCCTACTGAATTCTCACATTGGCAGAGGAAATCATATGTAGTAGATACTAGCTAGACTTTCTCTGTATCTCAGTTAACATCCATGAGTTTGTCCTCCTCAAATTGTAATTCCTGTGTAAATCTGAAGATTAGTAACTGCTGATATGTTATTCTTCAATCTTTCAGAGGAAGGCTTGTCGAACCGTGGATTCGAGGTTGTTAGATTGAATACATATACAACGGTGAGTATTTTGATGACACTGTAAGGAAATTTCATGGTGTCTTGTCACTGATTGTTCTGGTTCATTGCCATCCTTGTGTCTTTTTTTCTTGAAATTCCCACCTTAGCTTTCGGTAAAAGTCTTGTGGCTTCAGATTCCTGTAGATCATGTGGATCCAACAGTTCTTAAGGAGGCACTCTCTGTTCCTGTAGTCGCAGTTGCTTCACCTTCTGCAATTCGGTAAGCACACTAAATTTCTTGGGAACATCAAGTCCGCTATCATCTTTTAACTGAGCTATTGGGTTATGAGGCTCTTCCATAGAACAAATGCTCAGTTGATATCCATTGAGTGCAACAGTGTGTGGCTCAAACTCGTTTCTTCGGAATCAGGGCATTGGGACAACTCTATAGCCTGTATTGGTGAGACTACAGCATCTGCTGCAAAAAGGTTGGGCTTCAAGAACGTCTACTACCCAGCACAGCCTGGTCTCGAAGGGTAAATTCCAACTCTTAACTCTCCCCCATCACCAAGTCTCTGCTTCTTAGAGATGGGATTCCAGTTCAGCTGTCTAAAGTTTCTTAGTGTTGTTTGAGTTCAGGTGGGTAGGCAGTATCGTGGAAGCATTGAGGGCACACGAAAAGTCCGAGAAGAAGCTTGAAGTATCGTAGGTATATAGCTTTATTCGGTTTGACCTTCAAAAATCCAAGAGTCAAGAACGCACCAAATGATCGACATGTCTGAAACAGAACTCTCAAGTTTGGTCTCGGCCTGGTTTGACTGAATCCACCGGGACATCTCAAAACAGTGAGGTGTTATGTGTATGCTTTCCAGAAATCAACTCCAAGGGACCAACAACACGCAATAGTTTGTAGCGCTCTTGCATTGGGGCGAGAGGAGGTAGTTCTTGATAGGCAAAGAAAGGACTGAACCTCTCTCCTTGACGTCTCTCAATTGTGCAAGTTGTAATTATGTTTGAAAATATTGATTTTTCATTGTAATTGGGCTAGAGAATCGATAGCTTTATCAATTTAAATCTTACTTATTGTGCATGTGTATGGTTGGATCTATTGGATTCTTTTATTTGATGTAGTTCACATACAGCCTGTTTGGATGGACAAAAAACTCAGGAATTGGAATTTCATTTCCAATTCTATTTCATTATTTCATGTTTGGAATGGTAAGAAGGTTGGGAAATGAATTCCATTTGACTAAAATATTGGAAATTAGAATTCCTATCAAAAGTGATAGGAATTGGGTTTATGGAGATGGAATTAGTGGGACCCATTCATATTTATTATTATTTTATAATTCCACTATCTTATTTCTCTCTTTCTCTCTCATCCATATTTCATTTCCCAAGATAAAAAAATCTACTAAATCATTAATGATTGTTAAAGAATACAATTCATTTCCATAGTTGTTGGAATTATACCAAACACAAATATTGGAAATGGAATTCCATAAAAGTTAGAATTGGGAATGGAAATCCATTTCCATTTCTTATGGAATTGTATCCAAACAGGCTGATACGGATTCCACTGCTCAATTTCTTCGTGCAAAAGACTTGTTTTAAATGGCATGTAACCCCAACTTTTTAGTTGACGAAATTTTATGTATTAGACAATCAGAAATCGTCAACAAATTGTGTTTGTGTTTAGGGTTTTGGGAAATAAAGAGTGAGTGGAACGCATGGATTTGTACAACATATATTGATGAACATGATGGTTAGCGTGGTGATCATGATGTAGCTGACAATGGTTGATCGATTGGGGAAAAGAAAATGAACATCGGCCGGAGAAATGGTTATAAAATATCAGAGTGGGTTGATTGTCTTGGTTAAGGGAGTTCATATTAGTTTTTGAAATTTAAGAGATTATTATTGATAATGTTCTTCTTTTCTTCTTATTCCATTATCTATAAGCCCAAATCAAGACTTTATCATACGTCAATACGTCTTTGCCGGTTCTATTTGTTGAAGAAAGAATAAAGGTGTATTGATTATGATTCGGGATAGTGCAAGAGGTAGTCTAGCAATGAGGATCAATCGTGTCTCCCCAAGGGAAACCATCGACGAAATCAGTTGAAGAATACCTGATCAGTTTTTTTCAATGTTGTCATAACTGAACTGAAGTATGAACGGTAACGGTATAGTAAACGGTTCACACTTTACTGTTTTAACTGGCATTAAACTGTTAAAAACTCGTTAACGAACCGATTCCTCATAAATAAGAACATAGTAATTAACATTCTTAATCTATATGCATATGAATGTTAAAACAATGATTAAAAAAAGGAAATCCAAATCTGTCAATGTTATACCAAAAAAAACTCTAAACTCTTAAATAAACTCAAATTGTAACAAATGAACTCACAAAAGGAGTGAGTATCATGTTGTAATTGGCCAAGAAGTGGTTGTCTATCCATTGGACATAGCATGGGTACTAATTGGTACTTAGGGAAATGGATGTCTTTGTTAATATATATATACTATTCCTCCAAAATTGCTCCACTTAAGTGATGAAATTTCCAACCCCCTAAAGGTGACCATACGGCCATACAAGGTCCAAATTCAAAATTGGGCCCATCCTAGGGCTCAGAGCCCATTATTATTACTCCTTCAACAGGGGCGGAGCCAGCCCATGGGCTGGGTTATAAATACCGCTGGGAAGGCTTAAGAGATACAGCACTTGCAGTGTAGTCACTAGTCAGATGTTGAGCACTCCGATAAGGCGATAACTATTCCTTAATTCGAAGAATGCAGGTTTGATTCCCTCCCTCCCTTGTATTGAACAATTAAAGTTTTGTGTCTAATAAATTCAGGTTTATATTCGTTTTGTGTTTTTTTTTTTCGATTTCCCTTTCTTGTATTGAATAATTAAGTTTTTGTGTCGAATAACATTAGGTTTCTATTCATTTTGTGTTTCGTTTTCACATAAACTTTTCACGCTTTTTGTGCCTAATAGCATAAAATTTATGTTCATTTTGTGTTTTGTTTTCACATGAACTTTTTACTTATCCCAGTTCCTTATTTTTCGGCCTTTGTTTTCAATATTTTCAATGTTCCTTCATGATTTAAGTGCTTTATTTTTACCATTAACTTTTCATCAATATTAGTTTCTCATTCTTATCGGCCTTAGGTTACAGTATTTTAATATCTGTTCCTGATTTATATTCAAAACTAGGTGGCGATGTCGCGCCTTGTCGCGGAGTGAAGATGACCTATGTGCATGTAGTATGTGGTCCGTTATGGTGTTTTGTTAGTATTATTAGTCTAAAATTAATTTTTATTAAAAATTTTGTTAGTAATATTGACGATCATATGATATTGACCGAGAAGAGATATATGGCTGTCAACATCCAATTTTAATTTATTTTAAAAATTTTGGCTAGTAAATGATATTTACCTAAATCCGAGTAGACCCATTGACTATAGGTAGGGTATGGGTGACATATATAGGGGTTTGGAAGTTTATAGATGAGTTTGGGTAGGGTTTGAATATTTACTTTCATAATCTAATTGTGTATGAGTTGGGTATGGATACCCATTTATTCGAGAGTGTTTTAATTACACATACAAAAATTAAACCTATTTGTAGAACTTTAAAAGTTTAGGTATCAAAATATAATACACAAAAAAAATTTAGGTACGAAAATGTAATGTTCCATCAACATTTTGAGGACTTATATGCCAAAAAAAATTAGGTTATAAATATAAAGATCTACTAAGTTTAGGTATAAAACTGTAATTTGCATAGTTGAGGCTTAATTCCTTTTATGGCGATGTATTTAAGATGATAGCTATTTACTTTTTTTAATAAAAAATGAAAACTATTTATTTGATATGTGTAGATACCTAGTCAAATATTTCTTGTATAATTTTTGAGAATTCCAGGCCGGGTGAAAAAAAAACTATAGAGAGAAGCAAAAGGAATACAAACTGGAACTCGCTTAAAATTTCATGCCCTCAATTTCCATAGTGGAAAATGACGACTTTCTAATAAGTAATAACCATATATATTTATAATTGTGATTATAAAACATAAAATAGTATACTAATTAGGATTAGACGAAGAAGGCAAAGAAAGAAATAAAGAAAGGGTTATGGAAGGCGAATGAAAAATGAAACGAAGAGTAAGTAGATGATGGAAAGGTTTTGACCAATTATTTTAGTTGGACGTCAATACAACAATCAACCATTTTCACCGTAGCAATTTATTGACACTTGTTTATGCAGATGTCGCATGTTTTGTTATATGTAGTTAGTAGAAGTTTGTTTAGTAACCCGTAAATATACTAAATGAGTTTATAAATTCTCTCTTTTAATATTTTAGAGTCGTCTCTCTTGTATTGTACAAATTAAATTTATACTTTTATGTTATGGTGGATTGGATTCATGGATTGGTTCAAAAGAATTGGTGGATTGGATTCATGGATTGGTTCAAAAGGATTGGTGGATTGGATTTATGGACTCAAGCGAAATCTAAACACTGGACCGATATGTAAATTTAGATACCAAAATATAATTGTTCAATAATTTTATACTAAAATTAAATTTGACGTATCAAAATGTAAATTTTACATTATAGTAACTAAGTTGTGATTTAATAAAATTTGGGGTATAAAATAATATTTTTTTAGGCAACAGTAACTAAACTTCAGCTTTATATACATTAATCTTCACATTTCCAAATATTTCATTCAAATTTGTATTTAAATTGTGTCAATAGATATTTATTTTCTTTATGTTTGACTGATTTATGGATTATTAGCAATCGTAAATGAAAATTAGTTACAAATGAATAATAAGTTTTTAGTTCCATCCAAATAAATATTTAAAACATTTATCTAAAAAGGACTTAACAATTTATTTATGCGATTTATTGAAGTAAGAATTTTTGTGTAATAACAAGTTGGAACCAATTTTAGTAAAGTACGTAGTTGGCACATATCAAAGACTGGGTTTTACTATCTTATATAGAACGACTAGAATTTTTTTGTAACCAAGTAGACAAGGTCAATATTTTTTGTGCCCGTAAAAATCATTTAAGAAAAATATGAACAATCAAATTAATTTAATATTGTTAGTGTAACAAATAGATATTGATATGTTTTGAAAAAATTTTCTTTATATTATGTTAGAGATTGATAATATTCACACAACAAACTTGGATGTCCATACACTAGACATAGAAGATTTGTAAGTACGGTATTAAAATAATTACATTATTATGTGAATGCTAATCGACCATACCGTGTGAACAAACGTGCAAAACATATCAATATTAATCTTTTAGTTTAGATTACATAAAATTGTTAGGACCCTGTCGTTTTCCTTGTGCATATGTGACTATTCTTGCTTCCTTTATGTTTGTGTTTTCTATGATAATTTGTTTTGAGTATTTCAAATATAGACGAACACTATCATAAAAGTTGTACTTACTACATTAACATTTCTTATACCAAGTGTTTGTGCCACGTAACCTCCCTGCTAGCGCGCTCCGCCTCCTGCACACGAAGGCGCCCACCTGTTTGCGCTACGTAACCTCCCCGCTAGTGCGCTCCGCCTCCTGCACACAAAAGCGCCCACCGATCCCTCTTCGAGGGGTCGTTAGCACTCCGACGCCCAAGTCAGAACTACTTTCTAGAGAGAGAAGTCGAATATCAAGTTTAGAGAGAAGTTGGAACCTGAGTAAATGAGCTCCACCCACTCCACTATTTATACCCGAGGAAGGGTCGACCAATGCCCCCCAAATCCGCCCTACGTCATCACCTCATTAAATGCACTGTACCTTACTTTCCCCGGGCGCCCCGACATTCTGACACCGGCTTGCACCCCGGAGGCGCCCGGCCCCACCTCCTTTCTCCTCCGTACGCTCCTGACCGTTGCACCCCTTTTGTCGCCACGCGCCCTTCTCCGGGCCCGGCCCCACTGCCTGGGTCTCGGGCCTTGGTCCTTTCTTGGGCCTGGCCCCTATTCTCGGCCCATGTTGGCCTCCATGGCTCTTTTACTTGGGCCTTTCCTTCCCTGCCCCCAACAATTGCCCCCCAGTTAGGCGCCTACCGGCTGGTGGGGGCCTAACTAACCATGCGCCCCTGTCTCGGTGCGCTCTCTTTGAGTCCCCGCTCCCCCCGTGGGGCGCGCCTCATCACCGTTCCACCTCTGAGGTGCGCCTTCGGGACTCTCCCCTCCTGCTGATTGAGGCGCCACTCTCTCCTCCGTCCCATCATAAAA